CAAGATTTTAACTAGTTTGATATGCTGGATTTCTAATAATGGCTAAGTGGAGAGCTTCTTAGACTTTGAGCAAAGAGGTCAGGGTTCAGATTTGCTCTGGATACTGCCTAGCTAAGTGGTGGCAAGTCATCTAATTGTTCTGGGTCCCAGTTTCCTCATCTACAAAATAAGAATTACACTTGCAAGACCTACCCATTACATAATGTTTTTTTAAGTAATGAAACTGCTTTATAAACCTGAAAACAATATAAGTATGAAAACAATATAAGTATTGCAAGTTTTTTTTTTTCAAGCTAGGTCACTCTTGGATAGTGCTATGTATCAGGTGCAGTCAGATGGGTGTTGGATTTGGAGTTAAGAGGGCTTAGGCTGAAATCCCACCCGCTGCTACTCACTATCTCTGTTAGACCTATTTCTCTATCTTTATGAGGGGACAGGACTAGTAGTAAAAATCTAGCTTGAGCTTTCTTATTTCAAAAGGAAACTAATAAGGTGAACAGGAATTTTTTCTTGCCTTCAGGGGAACATAACTCTTTTTTTTTTGGTTGTTCTTTTTTGCTAGGCAATGGGGTTTTAAGTGACTTGCCCAGGGACACACAGCTAGTAAGTGTCAAGTGTCTGAGGTTGGATTTGAACTCAGGTCCTTCTGATTCCACGACCGGTGCTCTATCCACTGTGCCACCTAACTGCCCCAAACATAGCTCTTTGAAAGTAGGACTGTTTATTTTTTCTAACTCCAGCATCTCCTAATGAGATCATCTATTAGTAGGATATTATAGGCTACCAAGGCTAAGTCCCTCTTTTACAGATAGAGCCCAATAGGTTCAGTGGTTTGCCTAAAGTCACAAAGATAATATCAGAAACAAATTTGAATACAGGTTCTTCTAAAGTCTTTGTATACCGGGCTGCCTCAGAACAAGGCAAAGTAGGTACTTACTAAGTATCTGTTAAATTTTTGCTAAATTACCTCCACACAAATTTTATGACATAAGATTAAATCAAACTATGTAACTACCATACTGTGAATAAAAAATGGCATGCAAGTAGTTATATAGAAAAACCCCCAAATTTACTCAACAATGACAAGTAGCAAAAAAAATTTTTTCATCACTGGAAGGTCATAGTCATTGGAAGCTACTTGGATTAAAGAAGTGGAATTAAGTATATTTTAGAAGGAAGCAAATTTATATGTTAAAATTACCAATACATGTTAATACAAATACATTGTTTTTCTAAGAATTAAATTTTGTTAACCATTTGTTTTTTTTCAAATCTGCTTTCAGGGTGGCAAGAGAAAATAATCAGTCCTGTCCACTACAAAAAAAAAAAAGCCCAACGCCAAATACTATGAATCAGAAATCTTTTTCTTGTTTCTAAACTATTCGATTTGTGGCAAAGGGCAAGTGTGCCTAAAAACTGGGTTCAAGTATAAGAACTACTACCGCTATTTCTCAGAGAATAATTTCACAAAGCAGTCATCAAAAGAATGAAATTTTCCTGATATTTATAATTTTACTTTAGTTAATTTAAATCTTAGTTTTAGCTATTTCTTAATTAACCAGGCCATCCCTTTTAGAAATTTGTTGGGAGGTGTGTGATAAAATCGAAACATTATGGATACTGTCTTCTGATCACACAGATACATTTCACTTGCACTATTAAAGCAAGGACTTGGTTGTCATGACACCAGACTAACAGCTACCTGCTAATAAGCCCAGTGAGACAGTCAGAGGAATTCTTTCTGCCACCAATCTGGGATTTCCATTCCCAACACTGGCCGGCTGGTACCTTGGACCATCTTCAATCCTACTTTTCACCTCATCCCCAGGGCTGATACAGGATGAAGTTTGAGAAGGAAAAAGATAAATATTCATACTTCCTAGGATCCTCAGTGTTGACATTTTAGTAGTATTCCTAACTTGCTGAGAACCAGTTTGTTATTCTTTCCACACTCAAGAGACAATCAAAGCCTAGAATTCCTCTGAAATGTAAAAAAGGTTTTGTATATCCAAAGACCCAGTATTTCTTATTAGTGTGAGGCTCAAGGGTTTAAATATTTACTAAGGGAAAAATCAACTAACAAGCATTAAAAATCTAGTCTACAGCTGGGCATCGTAATATCTTGGGGATACTAAGTAAATCAAATATCAAATAGTCCCTGCTCTCAAGGACCTTATATTTTATTGGGGGAGACAGAATATATGACAGTTTAGGGTTGAAGGGTCCTTCATCCCTAGCAGCTGGGAGAATAAGGAAAAGCATTTCAGGCATGGGATATAAGATACAGGACATGAGCAACAGCAAGGATAGACCAATGGTTCCCAAAGGATGTTAAGGCACATTAGTGTGCCTTGAATTTTGCTAGGTAAGCCACAAAATTCTGGACATCGTATTACTGTAGATAAAAGAAAATTTGCAAATAATTTAATAAAACTTTTACTTACTCAGCATACTTAGTATGTTAAGTATAGTACTGCAAAATAAATGACTTACCACATGACAGAGAAGTACTGAGGGCCTGAACTAGGCGGTAGTTGTGTGAGGACTAAGAAGGGACTAGATGCAAGAGACAGAAGAGGTAAGATCTGTCAACTGCTTAGATCTGAGGGGTGGAGAGGAGTCAAGGTAAGATGCCAATTTGTAATCCTCAGAGACTATTAGGATAGCGGTGCTCTCCAAAGAAATAGGGAAGTTTAGAAGAGTGAGTCTGAGGGGGAATAATGAGCTTTGTTTGATACCTGTTGAACTTGAAATGTTTTTTAGGACATATACTTTAAATGTCCTAAGTGGGCAGCTGGAGATGTGATGCTACAGTGCAGGATAGAGACTAAGGCTGGACATGTAGATCTGGAAGCTGGGTGTCTAGAGATGATAATTAAATCCATGGAAGCTAATGAGATCACCAAGGGAGAGAACATAGAGAAGATACAAAACAGAGCCTTGAGGCATAACTTAGGAGTGGAACATAAATAAGAGAGCCAGCAAAGGAGTACTCAAAGGAGAGAGGATGCCAGGATAGTCAAGAGTGTTGAATACTTTGGTGAGAAAGATGAAAAAAGAGAAATGCCCATTAGATCTGGTGATTAAGAGATGTTTGTTAATTGGGGAGAAGTTTCAGTTGAATGACAAGGGCTAAGGAGTGACAGAAGAGGAAGTAGAAGTAACGTGTGTAGAAAATAACTTCTTCTAGGAATTCAACTGAATATAACTATATTCAGAACTAGAAGATAGCTCAAGGGGATAGTAAGTTCTAGTAAAAGAATAGAGTGACTTGGGGACACTTACAGACACTGAGAAAGAGATGGGCCAAGGAAAAGAAAAAAAAGGATTTGGGATATGTTCTGTGAAGTCTGGACTCAAAGCCACACTTGAGGATCTAGAGGGCCACATGTGGCCTTCAGGTGCCAGGTTTCCCACCCTTCCTAAATTTAATCCTCCTATCTGCCTTCCCTTTCTTAACCCTATCATGAAAATCATTACCAGTAGCTTTAAATTGGGGGAAGAGGAAGTTATCCCAAGTTGGAATTCTTTAAAAATGTTTTTACTAATCATTGTACAAGCTATTTTCTAGCATTGAATGTAAGCTCTGTAAGGGCAGGAACTATTTTATCTATGTATCTCTAGTGCCTAGCACTCACAGGCACAAAGGTTTGATTGTTACACACTGTGCCTAAGCTCTCTAGTATTAATATGGGGCCGATTACTTCGAAGTACATTCTGGCTGCTGTGGACTAGCCTGGGGATCATAACCACCATTCCTGTAATATTTTTCTTTGGGAAAATGCCTTCTGAAATTAATAAAGCCAATTTAGAAGATTTGGAAGATTATCCATTCATATGCTAGGGTTCAATTCTATATTTTATTACAATGTTACATTACAAATCTTTTTAGGTGTCTTTTAGGGCCGCTTTTAAAATTTCCTTCCATTCAACAAGAACACATGGCGTAAGAAACTTTCTTCCAGATGTATTTGTCTAAGCATTAATTTAAACTCTTTTCTTTCTACCTGTTTCTTCTAGTATTTTGATCGACTTGCATTCTAAGTGGCAATTACATGCACTACATTGTAACTTACACACTTAATGCATTATTTGTTCCCTTTAGAAAAAAATTTAGATCTAAAGTTAATTTCTGCTTTGGCTGCCATACATTATACTATACTTTTATGCCAGTGAATATCAGCCAATTTTGCAAAAGTAAAATCTCATAGCTAACTTATTAAATCCCAATAGAGGGTGTTTTGATTGCATTTGCTTTATCCATTATAATAACTATCAAGTTTTGCCTAGTAGGATACTCTTAAGTCCTCATCTTAGATGTGTACATTTTTCTCAATGCTCTACTTATTATTCTGCCAAATTGTAAATCTGATGCCAAACACTCCTGGGATTTCTTCCCTCCTTAAGATTAGCACCCATAGCCCTCTTCCTCTTCCATCCTCTACCAGTCTCTTCAACAGTTCTTTATCTGACTGTCAGAAATAAAGCTCCAAAGCATATCAATTCTGTAAGGCCAGAAAGTCACCTGGACTAGATGGCTGAGCCACTTTAAACACGTACGACAGACATTTTGTGAAGAGCTGCAGTTGAGAGATTTTCCAAACAGGGATTTCTGGAAGAGCCTCATGACTTCCCCAATAAGCAAGACACTTTGCCTTCCTTTTGAAGGCTGAACAAATTCACCAACCTCAATTGTGTGAGACAACTTTCAAATAACTGAAATAACAAAATTAACCATAAACTATGAACTGATATTTATATTGCATATAATGGTTTATACAGACTTTAGAAAGCTCATCTGCAATTTTATAGACTCCATATCTTTTACGCTAAACTCATATTCATTTTAAGAACAAATCTCAGAGAACTTAGAGATGAGATTTTAAAATTAGCTAAGTAAGATTTGCAAAACTCTGACCACATGTGACAATTACCAAAGGGGAATGTTACAAATAGGAAAAGTTCTGTTAAGTCACAAATTATGTATATTTCCAACTCACCTGCAAGTATAGTTTATTATCCTTTGTTATAGCATCCATAAGTTCCTTTTGCAGAGGCGGGTCTCCATTCACCCAGAGTCCATTAGTTGTATTATTAGCGCTGAAACCACTAGTACTATTCTGTTTTTTGTACAATAGAACATAAGCAGTATCCTTTGGAAACCTACTGGTAATTTTCTGGACTGATTGAAATGAGGTAAACGTCACTCTGCTGTCATTAAATAAAAACCACTCCTTTGACATTTCATTCTTTTCCAGATCCTGCTCAATAACTGCAGTAGGAATTTCTCCCCCCAACAAATGACCCTGAGGGGAAGCTAGAGCCAGAGTTTCAGACTGATGGCACAGCTGAAAGGAAGAGTCAGAACCTGTGATATTTCTGGCATATGAATAGTAATGTCCACTTTCAGAGGAGATGCCCGAGTGAACAACAACAGAGCTTAATAGATACGGCACCAGTTTTGGGCAGCATGCTTCATCAGTCCCTGAGGACTTGAGCTTTTTAGCTAGGTTCTCACCAGTATCTGTGAAATCAACATCTACTGACCAACTTTCTGATAATGAAGTTAGAGAGGAGTTAGTTCTTTTGACTGGCAACTCCAAAACCAATGGCAGTGACACATTGTCTAGGATTTTGCGTCGTATGTGACACTTCTGATCATAGGAAAATCTTAGGAGAGTGAGAATAAGGTATTCAGGTTCCTCCATGATTTGCATAGTTTTCTCTGCATTCTGTAGAGAGGCACAGTTTTCACAATAATAGCGGTTATCGCCATTAAGGATCTCTGGTGCCAGAAAATAATTTAGCAAGTCAGTAACTGAAGGTGTGCTTTCACCTCCTGGTTTCTGAGATACTCCTCTGTTAATCTGAATGTTGCATGGTTCATTAGAGACCAAAGTGTTTTCTGTACAGTGAAGCTCAGAAGGAAGATTGTCTAAAGCTGCTTCATCCATGACTGTCTCCAAGCCAAAGCCATCGGGGACAGGATGACAGAGTGCTGACTCTTCAGGAGAGCCAGTTGTTACCATACTAGCCTGTACCACAAAATCATCCTGCACCTTAGGAGAACATGACGGACCTTGAAAAGATAGGTTTTCCATAGAAGAGGAAGGACAAAATGCAAGTGAAAGATCTGTAAAGGCTTCCTCCTTCTGTGAGGTACTCCTGCAGTTCAAACAGTGTATATTAGTTTGTAGTTTTCCCCCGAACATTTTTTCTATTAAGGTTTTCTCACTATCATTTGTGTAAGGGATCTCTGTAAATGGTGCTGCCTTGCTGGCTACTTCCTGTAACGAGGTTTCATTGGATCCCAAACTTTCAGAAGGCTTCAGTGAAGACAGGGCTTTCAAGGTTCTTTCTTCTTCATGGAGTCTACAAAGGAAATGATCACATTTATCTCTTCTCAACCAGCTTTAGAATTACAAGTAACCAAGTTTCCAGAAAAATCAGTAATTTAGAAGGCCATTTTTCTTCCCTCAAATTTCAGAAATGTTATCTTCTCATTTTTACAATGTTATAAGTTGTTGTTTATACCATTTTGGTTTTGCAAGAAAACAAACTGACCTATATGAACAAAAAAAGTCCTTGTTTTCATGTCACTTGGCTATTAAATTGAAGTACTTTATTACCAACTAATGCCTTCATCTTTAAAATGTCTCTATAATCAAAGAGTTTTCATTTTCTTGGGGTAGGGACAAGGCTTGGAAAGAAGTAATTAGTCCTACACAACATTCAGTAAACTGGGAGGCAAATCTGATCAAGTTAATAGTGAAAAAGGGTAAGTCTGTTTCTGGACTAATTTTCTAAATCTGTCAACAGCCTCTAATACTCTTCTAACATATCTTCTCAAACTCATGTTTCAATGTCCTAGCTCGATAAAAGTTTGCTGGAGATGATAACTATATGTAGCCATTTAACTTGTTTAAACAGAGAAAAGAAAGGCCACGTGAAGGAAAGAACAGAAAACTGAACTGAAACCAGGCCTATCTCAGTGTTTTACGCAACAAGCAGTTGGCAGCATGTGCCCAGGCTCAGAATTTCGAAAGCTTACAGGGTTTCAGAGCAACAAAAAACTAAGAGAAGGGAAGGGAAAGAAACAAAGGATGAACTGTACCTAGAATCTACCTACTTTACTAAGTTTTCTAGAATTTCTCATAGGCATCAAGGTACAGAACTTTGTTAGTTAGCTAAAAATAGCATCTTCAATAAAGAAAGAGATTGTAGGCTATAGAGCAAGAAAAGGACAGGCTTTTAAAAAAATTTAAGCAGAAGTGATTAGTAAAATGTGCTCAAAACAACCAGTTATCAGAAGGAATAAAACAAGATGATCCAGGAAGAACTAAATTGAATTTTAAAAAATAATGCTGAAAGAATAGATTGAATGAAAGGGATTTTAAAACCAATCTTCCTCCTTATTACAGCTAATAAATATATTATAGACACTTCAAGATACTTAAAAACAATATCAAAATAAACTCTCATTTGAAATATTTAAACATCAATATAAAAACTATCTCCTATTTGTAAAGTTTAGAAATACTTTACCTGTCTAGCAGAAACCTGAGGTATTCAGAACAGTCCTGCTGTGATCTAGGAGTAAACCAGGGAGGCCTGGATGCCTCAAAAAATATCCGTGGGGCATATGCTTCCCTCTATTGACAAAAGGTAGATTAGAACAGAATGAAACAATTTATCCATAGTGAACACAAAATAACTTTTGGCCAAGTCTTCATCCTCTGAACTCATGAATTATTGTAAAATTTTGACCATGGAGTGACCTCAGAAGGCTATCTACTCTAAAACCTGGACAAAAATCCACTCTAAGTTAGCTATCATGTTCCCTTTGCCTTCTATATGTTAAAATAACCCCAACTGTTTTAACCAATCCTCTCATGGCATGATTTTGAAGTGTTTTATCATCCTGGTTATTATCCTCTGGATTCTTTTCACTTTATGAATTTCCTTCCTAAAATGCAGATTGAACACAATACTCTAGATATAGTCAGACTAAGTAAGAGTACAAAAGGATGATCACTTTTCTTGTTCTAGATATGTTGCCTCTCATATGGCAGCTGTACATCATCTGAGTTATTCTGGTTGCCACTCTACATTACTGACTCACAACCTCACTGGAATTCTTAGTTTTCAGAATCATTCCTGAAATTTATCCATCTTCTTCAGGGCTGATTACCCCTAGAGAATTGTAGTCCATAGGCTCCTACCTACTTTTTCTATGAAGCCTTTGAAAACCGATTTCCCTAAATCTATGATGTATATCAGACTGTAACTACCCTTTCTTTCCTTCAACACTAATTCTAATATATAATAACTTCTTCCTAAGGCTCCAATTACTCCTACTGTAGAAATCAGTTTTTCTGTTGGTAAGATAACTCTGGGAGGTAGATGCTAATTGAGGAAACTGAGGCAGACAAAGGTGAAGGGACTGACTGCATATCTAGTATGTGTCTGAGGTCACATTTGAACTCAATTCTTTTAACCCCGGGCCGGTGCTCTATCCACTGCGCCACCTAGGGGTTAAGTACCATAGCACATCCTCACTTATGTGAGGAAATCAAGGAACCAGAGAGTTTCTGAAACACGGTGGAAAGAAATTTTACTAACAAAGTAGAAATAGGTCATAAACATATCACAGAACTGTGACAATGAGATTATATGAAAGTTGTTGGAATATTCTCTAACAAAAGCAAAGTAAATCCTTGGCTTGTGATTAAGAAGGGGGAATTGCTTTTTGGTACCAGATTCTTACCAACAAGAAAGAGCTATTAGGAATGGCTAGCTAGCAAAGCTATGGATAATAAGAGTTAAACAAAACAAACTATCCCTATTACAGGGGGGGAAAGTACTAGATACTACCACTTGACTTCCTGGGAATCCCTTGGGCCAGGAGAGAGAGCAGTGAATCTCAGAGGCCCATTTTCATCAATTGGGCATATGCTTTAAAATGTGGGGTAAAAAAAGCACCCCCAAAGCAAATATTAAATTACTGATTCTCCTTTACCTTGAAATCAAGGTTCTTCTTCCTTCACTGTTTTATTCCCTCCTGCACAATGTTGGCAAAATTAACACCCAGTAAAAAAATTTGTATTTTCATTTATATGCTGTGCAGAAATAATGAATTCTAAATGTCATGATTCACTATACTCAAAACTAGTTGGCAAAAACCTCTCTACTACCTGTACGAGAAAGCAAGATACTACCCCCATTAGATATCTGCCATGAAACATGTAAAAGAGGTCATTTTAAACTGTGCTGATGCCTTATTTTCATGTGATGTCTTGTTTCACAATATGAACAGTTCATCAGACCTGGCACAATGTGTTTACTGTTATAATCAACACAGGCAAATTCATACTTACCTGTGTATGCGCCAAAAAGGCAAAAAGATGCTGTAATTTTTTCATTAATGAATTGCACCCATTTAAATTTAAAGATAATACATGCCTCCTGAAACTGAAAGAGAATAAAACAGAATTAATGGTATTATTTCACAAGAAGGATTTCTTTAAATTTAAACAAATATGGATCTGAAAGAAAGTTACTGCACTGTATGACCTTTAAAGCCATAAGACCATTACTAAATTCACACACAATGTACCATGTTATGCAGTGGGGAACCCCCAAGACTGCAACAAATGCCATTTATCTTTAAACATAGGGCCAAACAATAAGACATACATAATCACCTAGAAGGTATGAATGCTACACAACATAATACATCGTGATATTAAGTTACAATGAAAAGGTTAAATTATACATTATATCCTTTGGTTAAGAAGGCAAAGATTTGTGCAGTGAGTTTTGTAATTATTTTAATTTTTCAAAGAGGTTAAAATGTTTTATACTCTTAAAGAGGTAAACTTAAATTACATAGAAAATCAAGTTATGATGAAAACATTATTCTATAATACTGAATTAAGTGTCACTCACTATGTAAGTGTGTATTCCAAATGTCTGGAATGGAAAATTGTATTAAAATATTTTGAGATAACATATTTTAAATAAAGAGACACTAGTATAGCCGTAGAAGTTCCAAGTGTCATGACACTCCTTTCTCAGAGCCATCAATATATTCTTTTACATTTTTGCCAATTAGAATTTTGTAGAATGCAAAAAGTACCAGAATCGTTGCAAGCTTCAAGGGCACAGCCAGACAAGGTGCTCTCACTCTGTGTTTGAATTCTGGCTTTGCCACTCACCAGCTGTATGAAGTGGGCTATATCATTTACCTTCTCTGAATTTTAGTTGCTTCATCTAAAAATGGGAATTGTATTTACAGTCTGTCCATCTTAGAGGATTATGAAGATCAAATGAAATAAGAGGTGTGAAAAAGTTACTGGTAAGTAAATTTTATTGCTTTAAAAAAGCTGGAGATAGAGGCAATAATCTTAACACTATGGCCCTAATTTTAATGATGATTTCTTAAATAACAATGCATGACTGGATAGCAGTGCAACGAAGTGCTTCCATATATTCTTCTACTTGTAACAATCAACCGTTCAAGGTAGGAAGAACAGATATAATTATCCTGATTTTCAGAAAAGTTATGTGATTTATGCCCAAGCTAGCAAGCATGGGGAACCATGCACCTCTCCCCAACAATTCTTAATCTTATTCTCCATAGGCACGCACAATTACAAACCACTCTTCTTTTGCTGAAGAGTTTACCTTTTACTTTACTGAAGATATCAAAGCCATTCCCCAGGAGCTCCTTTGTCCCCATCTTCTCTTTATCTCTAGACCCTCAAAATCCTCCCCAAATCTTGACTTCTTCTAGGCTCTTCCTGCCCAAGTAACTGCCCTTGATTACCCTTCCCTCCTATTTTCTCTAGTAGATTGTTCCCTAATATTTCATCCCTTCCTATCTACTGGTTCCTTCTTTATTGCCTTCAAACATGCCCAAGGTTTCCCCATCCTTTAAAAACTTGATTAAACCCTACCATACTTTGAAGTAGTCATCCCATAATTTTCCTCCCTTTTTTAAACCTCTAGAATACACACACACACACACTCACACACACACACTCATTACCTCTTTCTCCTCTCCACTCCTGGCAATCTGCCTCTGACCTTATCACTCAACTGAAAACTCCTCTCCCCAAAGTCACCAAGAACCTCTTAATTACCAGCTGTGATGGTCTTTCCCATTGCACATAACACTGCTGAGTACCGTTTCCTGTCCTGTCCCCATCCCAATTTCAAATATCTTTCTGGGTTTTCAGGACATGATTTTCATTTCCTGGTTGGTTTCCTACCCCTCTGCCAACTCCTCCTTTCTATCTCCTTTGCTGGCTGGTAATCCATACCGTAACTCCCAACTGTGGGTATTTTCAAAAGCCCTATACTGAGCTCTCTTTCTCTTCTCTCTACATTCTCTCAGAGATCATGAGCATCATGGATTTAATTATCACCTTTAGTCAGATGACTCAGATCTACATATTTAGTCCCAGTCTCCCTTCTGCAATCTAGTTCCACATTACTAATTACCTATTAAGAACTTCAAACTAGATTTCCAATTCAAACTCCACATGTTGCAAACAACTCATTATTTTCAAGGCTCACAAAAATTTGGGGTCCTTGTCCACTCCTTATTCCATATATTCAGTATGTTTCCAAATATTTCTGCCTCTATTTTCTTGCATTTGACCCTTTCTCTTACAGCACCACATCTTAGGCCAGACCTTCATCACCTCACAAGGAAAACTGCAATGATCTCCCCTAAGTGAACTCTGTGTTTCACTTCTCTTCCCACTCCAATCTATCCTCCACATAGCCATTAAGTTACTCTGCTTACAGATGTATCTGACCATGTCATCCCCTTATTTAAACTCCAAGGACTCTTTTACTGTTTCTAGGATCACATACATACTATTTTGCTTTTAAAATACTTTACAGCCCGGCCCCCATCTAACTTTTCAATCACATCATATATCGTATGCCTTCCTGCCTACTACAGTTTAGCCCAACTGCTTCCAGCCAAACTGGCTTTCCCTCTTTCTCATATAGCTCATTTCCCACCTGTTCTTTTAGAGTGGGCTACTCCCATGTCTGGAATGCATTCCCTCCTCACTTCTGCCCATAGAATACTTCTCTTTCTTCAAGATGTGTCTCAAACAGCACCTTCTACACTTAAGTCTTTCCTGATATCTCCCAACTGTTAGTGTTCTCCCATCCCTAAATACACTAATTGTACATGCCTCCCCCAGCAGAATATTACTTCTATGGGAGAAGGGATTATTTAGTTTCCTGGTCTTTGTATCTCCAGTGCCTGCCTTCTATGTAGCAAAAGTTAAATGAATGTCTGTTGGTTGATTGTAAAGTGTATAGGAAATGATCAACACTCCAATTTTCAGAATGGTTTTTTATATTTGTACTTTCTGGGTTTCATCAGTTCTTGAACAAGATAGTTAGAGGAAAGTGTTTTTCTTATTTCTGCTATGTTAAAATACTAGTATGATCAGCATGGACAAACTTTTAAAAGAAAAAAAATTCCATTAATATTAACATCCCCTGGCCTTAAAGGCTCTCTCCCTTTCACCTTCTAGAATAGTTAAACCCTAAACTGATAGCATCTATCTCTGCAGTCTCTCTCCCACCTGTTCCTTTCACTTCTACTGTTTTATAATCACTCTAGTTAAAACCCTTATTACCTATGAAACAGACTACTGTAGCAGTCTCCTAACTGATCTCCTGACCCTTAATCTCTCACATCCTAATGCTGCCTATATGTTGCTATTAATCTTTCTAATGTTGCAATTCTTAATACATTCACTCAAAAACATTCATAGTGATTCCCTAAGTTTAGACTCTTTCATATGTCGTCCAAGAATATTTCCAGTCCTGTCCAGCCTTCTCTCCAACTAATCCATATGCCAAACTGTAGTACTTATTGTTCCAACAACATGGAACAGTATCCTATCTGACAGATTGTTATACCTGTAATAACCCCATCTCTGCCTGTTAAAATCCTATTCAGTCTTTCAAGATCCAGCTCAAATCCCAACTCTTCCATGATTCCTTTCCTAATCTTGTCAAAATCATTAATTTCTCATGATCCATAGTACTCTGAAGCTTTTATGGGACTTGCGCTGATTATACATCACATACATGAAATATAACTTCCTTGAGGGTAGGAACCTTCTCTTGTATCCTTATCACTCAGCAGATAATAGTTTAATAAACACTTATTAGTTGTTGGTTAAGTACTGGTTCTCCGCTAGATTTTAAGCTCCTTGCAGAGTGAGGCCAAGACTTCTTGGACTTTGTATTTTCCCTAGCATATAACAGGGCTTTTCATATTATAGGAGTTTAACAAATGTTTGTTGAATATATAAAACATTCTTAGGTTTAAACTTACTCTGTGGCCATGAACAGCGCCTGTATCACACTGTTCATATAACAAGTATTTCCTAGGTTAATCAGACCAGTTTTCCCAGTTTCAGATTTTCCAGAAAGTCTAGACAAACAAGATGCCAAGGAATTAGACTGAGAAGTCCAGGCACTTTGATTGAGGATCAATTTAATCTTCTCTTCACTGGGTTTAGGAAAATCCTGTAGATCATTAAAAGAAGAAAAAAAAAAGACAAGAGGAAAAATGATTAATGCACTGTTTTGCTTTTGAATTAACTAGTACTTGGGCAGCAGCAGGTTTCTATTTAGAATTAAGTTTTCTTTATCTGTCATGTCACAATTCCCCACTTTGACAACCCAGGGTTATATCTTAGTTGGCTCTGAAATCAGACAGTAAAATTGTCTGGCTAGTCATCAAAGACTCAAACTGCATTATAGAGCCAAAATAAATCTTTCTAGAATCAGATTATCAACTTTAATACTAAAAGGACTAACAAAAAAAGATACCAAAATGGTCACTTCTGAACTGTGCCCTGTAGGTTAAACTTTTTATGAATATAAAATTTTGAGGTCAGAAAATATGCTGTAGTGTTTTTACAAGATGGGAGAATGAAGAACTAAACCAAAACGCAATCAAACAAATTAAACACCACAATGACAACAAAAACAAAACAAGAAAACAAAAAAATTAATCTTTACAACCCCTTAAATGTACTATGTACATCATTTATACACATTTTATCTTCCAACATTCATGCCATAATTACATGTGCAAACCGGTTTGGGGCTGAAAGGAACATCAAGATACATAGCTTTATGTATATTTGGCAAGCCAAACTTTATATTTTACCTAATAGAGCCTCATTTAATTTCTTAGTTCTGCAGAAAAGTCACCGTTTTTTAAAAATCCTTAAAAAATTTATTTTTTTTAAAAGTCATTGTTCTTTAAAGGGATAAAGCTATTTTCCATGCAGATTTTATGATGCAGTTGAGAAAAATTTCAAGTAAAGACCTAAAATAAGTTGATTTGTAACAGAGATATGAGGAGGAACCAAAGGGAAAATGAGTGAGGAAGTGGGTGGGAGCAAGACTTTCCAAAACTGTAATCACCTGCTATATAAACTTTAGAAAGTAAGAACTCAATTGAATTTCATGAAAGGATTTCCTTTTCCTAGCTTTGTATTTCCACAGCTAATTTCCACACAAACTACTTCTCTGAAGTACAATGACCACATGAGGCTAAGTTTAAGTTTTAAACTGGATTTCAGAAAAGTACCAAAGTTTCTTGTAAATGGTACTCTGCCATAAGGCAATAATATAAGTTTATTATTAAGAGCAAAGTCCCAATTTAGGAACATGTTACTGTAGGAGACACAAAGAAAAAGGTATTTCTTCTGAAATGTTATACAAAAAGATGTTAGTAAGAGCTATGCATAATTTTAAAAAATAGAGCATATTTTAGAAATGTTCCAAAACTTAGAAGATACTGTTATTCTCACTATCTTCAAAAAGTCAAGTTACATATTTCCATAAATTTCTATTTATGGATTTTTTTTAATCCACAAGATGTAGATATTGACTTTAACAAAGTAATAACAAAGTCATCCTTTGTTTCATGTAGTTTTAAAAAATTATTTATAAAAAATGCACATGCACTATAATAGGAGGGATAGTACCTTGTACTTAAAAAAAAAATAAACCTAAAGCTATGATAGTATTTAGAGAGCTTCTGGTGAGAAAATTCCCTCCGCCAGGACAGATCTGTAACTGCTCTTGTAAGTTATAGTTTTAAAGAGTTGCCCGAGAAGTTAAGGTATTCGCTCAGCTGTACAACCAGTAAGTGTCAGAGGCAGGACTTGAATCCATTCCTCCACTTTTTTTTTTTTGGTGAGGCAATTGGGGTTAATGACTTGCCTGGGGTCACAATGTCAAGTGTATGAGGCCAGATCTGAACTCAGGTCCTCCTGACTCTAGGGCTGGTGCTCTATCCACTATGTCACCTAGCTGCTCCCATTCCTCTACTCTTATATTTGCTGAGGCAATTATCAGAACTTTCTTCTATTGGTGATTAAAAAACACAAGTCTAAAAGTCCCCAGGAGGCTTTAGAGATGACTGACCATTAGCTGGGTTCTGACAACACATAACCAAGCCTCACTGCTTCCAGTTTAACAAATTGATTTTATTTTCTGATAGTTGTTTTTGTCAGAATGCTGCCTTGCCTGACTCACCCTCTCTCACTAAAAGAGGAAGGCCTGGCTGTGTTGTGATCCAATTTTTATTCTATCTTGAGAAGCCATAGTTGAATATGAGAAAAAAAAAAGAAAGAAAAGAAAAAGAAAAAGAAGGAAAAGAAATAGAAGCTGTCAGAATGTTTCCCAAACATTTGGTAAATATTTTCCAATTTGATTGGTTAAAAACATTTAAAAAATGGACTCTCAGGAATTTGTCTTTTTAAGTAGGTAAAAGGCATTCATATAATTTATAAACACATCCAACACATAATGAGATACTTTGATAAGTAAGTGCTACAAACTGATAGCAAGCTGGGAAGGTAACTATGGTCATGTACCAACCAGTCTGCACCAGGAAAACCTTACTCTGCAGGATAAAATTTTTACTGGTCAATTAGAACCCAAAATTGCTAATTAAGATGGCATAAAGGCTAAGGAACCAACAAGCAGGTGATTGGGTATGGTCTCAAGATAACAAATTCTACCCCCAGTTAAATATTTACTGAGGAATAGTTCTTACTCAAGCTCCTATGAGGTTGTATGTGACAATACTACACATAGTGACATAGATGCCCTGGATAGAATAGCTCAGTGCTTTTACTGACAGCATTTCCCAGCTTTTATTAAAAAGCACTTTAAAAAAATAAAATAAAAAGCTCTTTAAATCACTTCATTAGATCCTAAGAACAACCCCATGAGGTAGGTTTTTTTTAACAAATGAGGAAAACTGAGCTTCAGAGAGACTGAACGATTTCGACTGATATAAATGAAGTGTTCTTTCCATGACACCACCCCACTTTCTCCCTTTCAAAAACCAGTGTAATGTTATATGTGCTGTAAACTCATTGAGTCATACATACTTTTATTCTGTTCACTGGAGGACAATACAAACCAAACACAGTATACTAATCTATTATGAAGTCAGTATGTGAAAGAAAATGAAAACGATAACTTTTTGATGTTGTTTCTGTTTCATCAATGTATTGATGTGTCATACTTTTTTTGATCATTGTTTTCTTTTGAAATTTAAATTAGAAATGCCCTAGCAAGAAATAAATATGATTCTACATCTACAAAGAGAACCATATTTTAATTTGGGAAAAGAGTAAATTAGACTTCAACTGGAAAACCCATTAGCCAACCTGTAAATAAAGTTCAGGATATAAGAGGGAATACAAAAGGAGATTAAAGATTGAATCCATATGCCTATAAACTAAGCTGTGATCAAAAATGATTTAGCAATCAGTTCACATTAAAAGAAAAACAAGGAGTACAAGTGTATCTTTTTCTTTTGTCTTTCAAACATGTAGTCACGGAGGCTAACTGAATTAGCTTCTAGGACAGAACTATGGTCCACACTAATTTTTAATATTTCCATAACCAGTTCAGATAATTTAAGAAACCAATATACAAATAATTCCTCATACAAGGAATATAAAAAGGAGAGCTAAGCCACCACTCTCATTAACGCTGAAGATTACTGCTCTTAATTTATTTATAATTACTAATATATCCATGTTACAGTGTCAATAAAAATGTTATTAATGATCATGTAGAATGCTAACCTTTACTATTTCTTTTCAAGACACACTTCACAGTTGTCACCATTTCAGTTGTTTACATGTCAATGTTATTGCACATTCATGTCACACTGTACCTTGATGGCTTCCAGAATAGGTTCATAAAGATCTGGAAATCCTGAATAATGATACATCATACAGTGTATCAGCTCTGTTAACTGAACTAGGAAGGCTGTACTGGAAGGCAGGCCATCAGTTCTAAAAGAGTGAACCAAGTTAACCACATGTGGAACAATCTAAAGGAAAAAAGGAAAAAAAAATCACTTGAAATGTACTTATAAGATGATATATCTGATAACAGCCTAACAAATAAACTATATTTGAATGCTACACTTTTCTGGATAGTTTATATTATAATATTTTAAGTTTGGCACTCTCAAAATTTGGACAATTTTTAGCTTTTAAAAGTTATACAGATTTCTCTTAAGAAACAAATTGTATATAAAAAATTAAGTTCTAAAATAAGGAGGTCAACATTACCATTCTGAAAATATTTTAAGAGAAAGGAACCTTAGTTTTTGTCACACTAATCAGCTATTTCAAAGAGAATTATATTTTCTAAAAGAATTGCCCAAATTTAGTTTGGAGCTCCATCTAGTGTGGATTTAAGCTTTCCATTTATGGGAATTTTATATAATGTAGTAAACCATAACACCATTAAAAAACTTGGAAATAAGAGGCTACATATGACACATACAACTATAGCACAGGTTCATTAGCTATTTTAAGAGTAAGAGAAGCCTCTCTACTCTTAAAACTAAAACCTAATGTAGTAGAGTTTGAGTCATTTTTGTCTGTAACCTGTTATGTTACAGACTCACTTCTAAAGGAATGGAATTTTGTCATTTATAATAATGAATGCATGGTTCAGGAGGAAGACAAAAAAAAGAAAACCGGAAAACTGTTATTGCTGATATAACCAATGAGAGTATACAGCATAGACAGGGTCTTTTAAAGTCAACAGACTAAAGATTAGGTAGGATGATTCCAATGATAGTTACTACCATTATAAGAGATTTTCTGAATGATGAAACCATTTCAATTTTGCAGCAAACGGTTTGTTGTATTCAGCAGATATGGATAACATTTTATTGAGTGGGGTAAGCTAATTACTTGCAAATATCCAACGTAATTATTTCCTCCAAACCTTCTTCTAATTGCATAATAACTATGGGAAGTTACCTTGCAGGCTACAGTTTTTTCTGCAACTAATTCAAGGTAAAAGCTAATCTAAAGCTCTTTGGTTATTCTTCTACTCCCGCCTAAAACATATCCTTCAACTCTCCTTCCTAACCAGACTCCATATACAAGTGGTTCTTTTGGCCATAGTCCATTCTCAAGACTTCTAGAGCATTGCTTCATCTACTTGAAAGACTTTTCTCACACTTCAGTTCATTTCTCCAGGCTCAATAATCCTCAATTGCTTTAATCTTGCCTCCAGTCCAGGTGGTGATTTTTAACAATAAAAGTCATCTACTTAAATTTCTAAAATGTTCACAGCTGGTATTACAAATAATTAGCATTAATAACATTTTAAACCAAAATTAATAGAAGTATTATTAAAATACGGGAAATTTCACTGGAGGGGGAAGAAAAAAATTTTTTAAAAACATCCAACTATATTATTCCAAATCCCTGGAGGGCAGCATTTTGCTTTGCCCTTTCCTTTGGTAAGTACATCTGGGCCTTCAGAGTATATCCTATCACGTTCTGAACTTCCAGTTCTATTACAGGCACAAGGAAAGGAAGGATGGTAGGATTTATTCTCCATAAAGTTATATTCATTACACGCAAATACTTGTAATCTATAATGCAATTACAGGTAATCTTTCAAATATTCTACAGCCTAAATATCTTCAGTTGCCAAATCTGATTGTCTTTACCTCCGCAGTATCTCCAATAACCTTTGCCCCCTACTCTCCACTCACAAGACCATCACCACCTTAGCTCATGCTCTCATTCCTTACTTTTTATTACTATAATAAGAAGACTGTAATAGTTCCCAAAACTGCAGGGGGACCTTGTCACTCCAGCACTCAAACTCTGCTGCTTGCTGTTTGTCCTTCTTTCTCAAAGAGGACCAGGGAGGTGATTCCACGACACGCAGTGAATTGGATGTGAGTGAGGGAGGGCTGTGCAAAGTCACCAGCCTCACTTTCTCCTCCAGAGTCATCTGAGCCCAGTGGCCAGATATTGATCAGGACAACTGGAGACAGCCCAGGATGCAGTGGGTTACAAACTTTGGTGCCTCCCTGAATACCCACCCCCAGGAGTAAACAATCTTCTCTGTTCGGCATTTAAAGCTCCTCACAACCTAGCCTAACCAACTTACACTCTTCCCTTTTGTTCACTCTATGGACCAGGCAAGCTAGCCCTTCTTACTACTTCTTCATGGCACATCTCTGTTCCCTGATGCCTGGAATGCACTCCAACCTCACTTCTCCCTAGGCTCAGCTGAAGTGTCACCTACAGGCCTGGTGACTGAATAAACAGGAGAATCAAATAAAAGCAATTTTTTGGGAGAAATTAATAGTTGGAGGAAAGGACATAAATGGGGAGTGGAGGAAGAGGGATGTTAAGCTCTTTCCATATCATTCTGGAATTTTTAGGAGCCTTATCTTTAATCAATATTGTGTGCTCCATATTATTTTTTTTATTTCAAGGTCCTTCTTATAAACAGTTTTATGTTTAAAAGAATTCTACCTATTCAAAAAAATGACACCAAAAAAGTCAGCAAAAGATTCTATCCTTTCAATTTTTGAAAATAGTCCTTAATTTTAACCCAGATTTACAGAGTTCTAACATTTACAAAGCACCTTCCTTACACTGACACAAGTTTGACATAGGTAGTGCAAGTATTATAATTTCCATTAAAAAATAAAATAAAATAAAATCCAAACCTGTAATTCCACAAGTGCTGGGAATTTCTGGGTGGAAACTCCCTCCACCAAACACAAAATAGTAACTTATCTGTAACTTTTAAGTCCTAGAGAGCTGCCTTAGGGGACACTGAGAGGTCATGAGTTAGAGGCAGAACTGGAACCTGAATTGCCAAGACTACAAGTGCTTAATATCTTATTTATCCCCATGTGATATCTTTAATAAGCCTGCTGCTAATATGGTGAAATGACCTCATTTTGAGAATATAAAACTTGACTTAATACTAAAAAATTTAAAAGCAATTTAGCATATAAAAATAAAATGGAAAAGTAACTTACCAAATGGAAAGCCTCTGGAGAATGCTGAAAACTAAGCAACATGTGGGAAAGAACTGCAAGAGCACCAGGTCTCACAAGAGGAAACCAAAGTCGATTAAAAACCTTTAAAAAAAATATCCAAATATTTATGTTTAATTTTTTTAAAAAATCGTGAACATGTTAAAAATTGACAAGTCTAAGATTTTTTAAGTTATCAAAATTTCTTCCTAAAGTTCTGAAGTAATCTTTTTCATTTTTGCACTTGGCAGCTGAGAGAAATGAGAAAGGCTTAATGTAATCTAGAACCTCCCCCCCACAAAAAGACTCCAACAACTCCGCAGCGCTAAAAGTACCCCTGAAAGGCACTGTCTGTTATCTAAGTTAAGGCAACTTTGCAAGTAAAATACGTACTATATAACCTTATTAGAGATATGCCTTTATATAAGATATGTATGTAAATCATTTTTTTCAAACCTTAAGGAACTACAGGAATGAGCTATTACTATGTATGATTCAATTGTAACACCATATTTTAAAAGAGACTTTAAAGTACTTTTATTTTAATTATGCACAAATAATTCATAAACAAGCACATCTCTATAATCCATTAACCGAATATTCACATAACTTTAGTAAGCACTCCCTCTCCCACTTTCCAAACAAGCCCAAACATTTATTTGTTCATTATATCCCCTAAATTTAAAGGTTCTCATTCCACCTACCAATTCAATTTTGAGCAAAGTAACATCTATCAAAATAGTAAACTTCTGGACTGCTGCCAGTCCTTTCAGCAGTGCAATCACCCATGTCTCCACATGCTGTGCCAAAGGCCAAGATAGCCAATCAATCATTCTGAAAGACAAAAGAAAATCAGAAAAAACTTGTAAGCATATTTTCAAAATATTTTGCTCAGGAACAGCAATACAGCACTAATTTATTTTGTTTTTTTACAATGGATTAAGATGAGAATATAAATGTAGATTCTCAGATGAATAAATAACAGCTTATTCCCTCTCCACCTAACACACTTAGAAGAAACTGAATTATTATCTATTCACTCATTCAAAATAAGTATTTGAGTGTCTCCTCAGACATCTCATTTCCCACCCATTTTGGACTTCTTGGACTTTTCCACCATGCCCCCAGCAAACCCACCATTAGGAAATCATCATTTTGCAAATTCTAATCAGCCTTGTTACTCACACCTCATCAATACCCTCTGCCTCTCCAACTAGAAGGTAGAGTCATAAACTCCTATATTTAAGGAGAAGGGACAGGACAGATCTCTCATTTTCCATAGGGCTGTATGTCCTCATTTTGGATTTTTCTGATTTCTTCACCATGCCCTAGCCCCCAGTATCTTCCCCTTCCCCAGTTTATCATCTTTCTTTTGTATGCTGTCTTCCTCCATTAGATTGTAAACTATAGTCCAGTAGGCTCCATCTTTCCTTTTCATATTTGTATTTTTAGCATGGTGCCTGGCATACAGGATGTGTTTGACTATGGATTTGAATATGTGAATGCCCATGAGTGAGACATTGTGAAGGATAAGACAGATGAGTAAGGGACAATCTCTCTCCCCTTGGAGTTTATAAATAGCAATCTGATAAAAGAATGCTACAGAATGGTTATCAGTCTGCATTGGTTGAAGGAGTCTTGCTTGGGAGATTCCTGGACCACAATGTCAACTCCTGAGTTATGGCCTGAATCAGATTAAACTGTAACTGGGAAATGTTTAACAAAATCAATAAAAATAGATAATATTACACTTTAAAAGAAAGTCAATATGTGGCCCGTGGGGATCTTTATGTATCAATTAGTCCCCCTATTTCTATGTGAGTTTTTTGGACACTATTTCCTTACACCAATGAAATCAGAAGTTAGTATATTTTCATCAAAAAAAATTTTTTTTAAAGAAAGGTAAGAGAAGATTTTGAGAGACAAAAAGGAAGAATCAAAGAAATTGAAAAAGAACCAGGAAAAAAGAAGAGCTATAGAAAGCACAGGAAGAAAAATTTAAGAAAATGGGGTAGGTTTGCCAGTAGTGTTAACATTTCCAGAAATGCCAAGGAGAATGAAAACAGGGAAAAGCCACCACGAGTATAATTCTGATATAGTATTCATTTAATCTACCACTCAGGTATTATATATACAAAGTGCTGGGTATTCAAAGGCAAGAAGAAAACAATCTCTGCATAAGAAGCTCATATTGGGGGGTGGGGAGGGGGAAAGGGGAGAATAGTGATGAATGAGATTAAGGAGAGAAAAGAAGGTAGTCAGAAAATAAAGGTACTGGGTAAGTAAATTCATTTAAAGTGGACAGTGAGAGGAAGCAGATAGTATGAAAGCTAAGAAAGGCAGGATCTTTAGGCAAAAGTCTTTTAAACAGAGACCAAAATGTCTGGAGACAGAAAAGAAGAAACAAGTGAGGAAATTTCAAAATTTTGGAGAAGGAATGGTTAAGAGTTTGGATTTGGGAGAGGCAGAAGGGAGTCTGGAAATAGAGGAATAAAGGGTTAGCGTTATGAGAATACAGGGTACATAGCATTTTGCACTGTCATGACCATACTCAATATTGTAGGGTTGCCACAACATTGAAGTATGGAAAAAAACTGTTTTATAATCTTGTTATGTTGTATAAAAAAAATTAAAAGTGGGTTTGGTAGTGAAATCTACCGTCAAGTGTGAGACTAACACTGTAACGATTTCTGTAATCTGCATTTTAGTTAAAAATGTCTCTTGCTTCCAAATCTACAATCATTGTCAATACAGTGACATGAAATACCTGCACAGAGCTTGAGTCATACTTGCATCTTTTACATTTGGATCGGTGGTAAGGCTCCTGATGAGAACTGTAATCATCTGCAGTGGAATATGCTGCACAAGACTTGCCAAGGCAACAGAGGGTTCAAATGAAGCATCTGTTTAAAAAACATATCACAAGACAGTCCAAATACAGCATTGAGGAATATGGCACATTATTAGAAACATAATTAAGAGAATGGTGGCTTATATATTCTTAAAGTACATCTTATGTACATCCATGCACTCAACAGTCAAAAGTCTGGAACATCTGACTTACTAAAAATATCAAGGTTGCCCTTTGTTCATTATTATATATTATATGGTTATTTTGTGCTAAAGTTCATATTTATATAATATCTGTTTAATAACCAGAAACAGCTGGTGGTACAATGGATAGACAAAGTTGGCCTTGTAGTCAGGAAGACCTCAGTTCAAATCCAGCCCCCAGGAAGGCACTAGTTGTATGACCCTAGACAAGTCACTTTAACTTGTGGCCAGAGTTTCCTCAACTGTAAAATACGAATGATAGTAACACCCACCTCCCAAGGTGGTTGTGAAGATCAAACGAGATATTTGTTTAAAACAAACAAAAATGCTTATTTTCCACATATGTGTGTTATAGTATATAACAGAAAGTGGTATGCAGTTACAACATTTGACATTTTATTTTAAAGTAACTTACAATCATTAAATGAACCTAGTCAATACTGCCAATGGGTCTGAATCCTACTCTACCACTTAGTACTTAAAATGAAACCGGGGGCAAAAGTCTCAAATTCTCTCAATATGAGTTTTCTTATTAGAAAGATGTGAAAAATACCACTTAAGATAGTCTTCACAAGGTACTTGTAGTAAGGATCAAATAAAACTTTATAAACTATAAATGCCAGGTAGCAAATTCATATTAGTTACATTAAGAAGTAAAAATTTACTTTTATCACATCCATTAACATAAGGAGGATAAAAGGAAAGAGGCAAACATTAATATATTAGATAAGTTGTTCAATTTATAACAGAATACTAACAAAGTTACAATGATATGTATGAATTAAAATAATTTAAAAACACTTAGAAAAAACTTGATAATCTTAATTAGTATTCACGCTATGTGCAGAAGTCGAGAGAGCCCTGGTCTGGAGTCAGGAAGATCGGAGTTCAAACATGTGTGACCCTAGGCAAGTCACTTCACCGTGTTTGCCTCAGTTTCCTCATCTATAAAATAAGCTAGAGAAGGAAATAGCAAACCACTCCAGTATCTTTGCCAAGAAAACCCCAAACAGGGTCACAGAAAGTCAGGCATGACTAACAACGACTGAACAAGTATAACATGTAGCATGAAATGTAACATCACCTTTCATAAAGTTCTGACATCTCATTTTTTTCTTGCCATGTAAGTGGTGATAAAGTATTTTAAGTAGATACTGATGATTACAGTTCTCATCAAACAGTATGATTTGAGGGGACCTTAGCCTAAAAGCAGACCCCATTTCTAGTAGTCACTGAAAGTTGATTTAGAATGTCAACCTACAGCGCATTCTTCTTAACAGCTTTATCTCTACAAACCACTCAAGAAATTGATTAATAAATTGACAGACACGATCAATTATTATGTTTAGGATACAAAGATTAATAAAATATGGTCCTTTGTTTTCAAGAAATTTACACAACCTAATAGGAGGACAAAACGAATGATCAAGGGCTACAAAGAAGTCAGTGAATGATGAATTTAGGGAGGTCTGAGAAGAGATTACATTCCACTGGGAGGTAACCAGCAAAGAAGGAAAGTAAGGATGGCAAGGAGGGAAGGAAGGCAAGGGAGTTTGCATTTCACAAAGTTTTGCTAATGCCTTTTGTTTTTATGTCAGTCATATCTGGAAATACCTACTTTCTTACTTCAAAATTGAATCCTATCTTTTAACTAAGAAAAAATACTAAGAATGGGTAAGATTTCACTGGAATATAATCCAAAGGAGTGAAGAGCCCAAGTAAAGTCACCATGTCAGGAAAGTTTGAGGAATAATCTGGGAATGAGTTTAGCTGAGGGCTAGGGGACATAAAGCTAAAAAGGTAGATGAGGCCACTGCAAGGAGTGCCATAAACACCAGGATACAAAATTAATTTTTATTGAGTAAGCAATGGGAAATTATTGAAGGCTTCTGAGCAGAGGGGGATGACAAGACAGAAAAGATATGACTGGTATAATTAGGGTATATAATTACATTTAAATGACACATCAAATGGGAGTGTGTAGACTGGGTGTGGAGGACAAAGGTAATTTAACCCCATAGGACACCTCCAGATCAGGAAATACCAGGTCAGAACAAGAAATGAAGGGTCATAGGTGAGAGATTTCCTGATGAAGAAGTCTAGGACCCCAATAAGGCCTACTTTCCTCTTCTCCTTGCACCTTACTGTGATAGTATTCTAGAATTCACCCCAAAGAACATCTATATCTCTAAATGCCCATCATTACACGTTCCTAATGTTATTCTCCCCTCCTATATATTAGAGAACAAAAATCGCAATGGATAGGAACAAAATATTAGTAATAGTTGAGTAAGAACACACAAATTACTTTCTGGAAAGTCTATGAAACTCACAGAAATGAGACATATTACATTAAGGCAATCGAGTTAGCTAAATATAATGTTTAGCCTGTGATTATAATGAGTCATTAATGATTAGGAAAAAACTTAATCTTCAAAGCAGTGCATAAATAAATAACTTGAGCAAAGGCAAAGTAGTAAGGAAGCTTGATCAGTGTCACTAGTTTTCTTGATGAAGGGGAGTGTGGAACAACAGACACACCATTGGCTGACAGTCAGGGAGCCTGGGCTGAGAATCCAGTCACTACCTGTATGATGTTGGACAAATCCATTAATCTCTCTGAGCCCTGGGTTTTTCAATTGTAAAATGAAGCAAACTGGACTGCATGGTGACTAAGGTACCTTAAAGCTCTTAAGTTTATGTTCCTATAACCTAGTAGTTTTAAAATTTATTCTAAAAATTCATCTTCTTCCACTAATCACATCCAGCTTGTGATTTCTCTATTTTTGTTTAGACCTACACCACACTCTTCTTAGTCATCTAGGTTTAAAATTTGTTCCTCTTGATTTTTTTCTTACCAGTCAGTTAATGTGAATTTATTAAGTGCTTACTATGTACCAGGCACTGTGCCTTAGCACTGGGTATACAAAAGAGCAAAATGAGTTTCTGCCCTGGAGCAGCTCAAACGTAAGAGGGGAGACAACATGCAAATAAATATGTACAGGGATAAGCTACATACAAGATAAATAGGAAATGGTCAGTAAAGGGAAGGCACTAGAATTAAGAGGGATTTGGAAAGGTTTCCAGTAGAAGGTGGGGATTTTAGATGGGATTTGAAGGAAGCTGGGAAAGTCAGGAGGCAGAGATGAGGGAGCGCATTCATTCTAGATATGGGGGACAGGCAGTGAATATGCTGGGAGCTGAGAGACATCAAAGCCTTCTATGATGTGGCCCTATTCTATTTTTCCAGTTTTCATTTCCCACTACTTTCAATATACACCAGCAGAGTCCTCTCCAATCATGTCTCAGGCACTTTCTCAGTACCCAAACTTTGTTTATACACTTCCTCTTTCCTGAAATGCCATGAAAGTTACATCTCCACCGTGGAAATCTAACTATCCTTGAAGTCCATTTCAAATGCCACCTCCAATCACAAATGCCTGACACCTCCAAAACTATTTTGCCTGTACCTATTACGTTAACTACATGCTCTTAGCTAGAACCTAAGTTCTGAAAGGACATATTAACCTTTCTTATCTTTCAGGTTCGGCAGTGTTGGTACCTAACTGAATGTTGAACCAATGCTGCTTTTAGTGTATTTATAAAGCTCCGGGTGACCTGAAGAAAACAGAAGACTTTAACAAATCTTTGGCCGTGGTTACTAACCTGTAGGTTTGCGAGTGGTTGTTTTGGTTTGTTTTGGGGGGGAAGGGGTTATTTTTACTAATGGAGCTCCTGATACACACCTGCATTGGAAAATTACAAGAAAACTCCTTACCAGTAGAAGAGATACTTGCAAACACTTCTTGCAGAGAAGGCAGCAGTGTGGAAGGTTCAGCCTTCCAAATATTCTGCAGCAAGTTGCTCACTTTGGTCACCTGTGCCACATACTCCCGCAGCTCTTTCTCCTGCGTGGACACGCACTGAAAGTGTCCTATAGTCCGGACCAGCTGCTGGCAGAAGGCCACCGACAGCTTCCCTTTGGGGATGCACTGCACAAAGTCGCTCAGGAGATCGCACAGCCGCGCACACAGCGCCGGCTCGGGCCTCTCGCACACCATGCGCAGGACCTCCACCTGCAGCAGGCTGAACAGGTCCAGCACGGACGGGCAGCTCATGATCAGCTTTAGTCCATTGTGGATGTAGTCTAGGATGGCCACGTCTTTCCTGTCCAGCGTGCGGTAGCCGCGCTGCAGGAGGCCCAGCACAAAACTCTTGTTGAAGAAGCTCTCGAACTCCGATCGGTGGTAGCGGGCGTAGGCCTCCAGCACCTGGTGTCCCACCTGCCTCTGAAAGGGGTCCTGGCCCTCCAGGATGAGCCTCGTCGTGAGGCCGAACATGGCCTCGCACTGCGCCTCGTCCAGCCAGTTCTCGGCCGACTCCACCACCTTGCGCACGATCACCCTCTTGAGCGGCAGCGGGTGCGACGAACTCACCAGGCCCTCCAGGATCTTGTCCATGGCGGCAGCGGCAGCACGGGAGAGGAGGCGGCAGCAGAGAGAAAGAGAGCACCGGGGCAGAGGCCAGGGGGGGCAGCAGCTGGACCGGCCACCGCCGCCGCCGCCTCAGAAGCAACATTTATGGGGCGGGCGGGCCCATCCGAGTGCGAGCGCGTGCGGGGGGCCGCCCAGGACGGGACGTAGCCCGCACCGGAGCCGCCAACGCCCCGCTTCTCCGGCTCTGCTGCCGCTGAGGCGCCCGAGACCCGAGACCCACCAACGCCGCCTCGTCCGTAGTAGGAGCTCGCCGCGGTCCCGGGCCGGCGACCTCCCTCACCATGGGCGCCGGCCGCGGAGAAGCGTTGGGGGTCCCGGAGCCCAGAGAGGAGGAAAGGTCTTCAATCTTCGCCCGTCCTCCAACCCCCGGGGTTAGGAGAAGGTCGGGGCGAGCTCCAGGAGGACGGAAAGAGAAAACTGGACCGGGAACTAGCGAGGAAAGAGACCGAACCTCGTTGACCCCGGATACAGAAATATCTCCTAACAGGAAGTAAGGGAAATCTGGGTCAGTTGGAAGAGGGCCCCGCCCCTTCCTTGGACCTCCCCCTTCCCCTCCCACCCCCCCTCCTTCCCAGTTAATGCGCAGGCGCGCTCACCTCCCCCACTTAATTTCCCCTCCCCTCCCCTTCTTATCCCCTCCCCTCAAGCACAGTCACGCGGCGACGTAGGCCGATGCCCACCGCTCTGTCGTCATTAGGGAGGTTCTGTCCAGTCACAGGCGACCATGGTGGGAAGAAGAAGTCAGTCCTCGGGAAGCAGTCTGCGTGAACGGTCGCGAGGGGACGTGCCTCAACGCCTTCAACTTCCGGCCGCCTCGAGGCAGTTGTTTCCTCACACTCAATCCCCTCCCCCCACCATGCCTTCGTTCTGCGCGTGCGCAGCCGTTACTACACATTTTACCGGCCCTCCTCTCACTTCCGGCCTCCAGCCTGAGGTGAGAGTGTCTGCCTCCACCTACTCCTTCCTTTTCTTCTCTGAGGCTCTCCCCTCCTGTGCCGGGCTCGGGGTCCGACCTTTAGGCCCTTCCCCTCTTCTCCAGAGGACCTCACATCAGCCCCAGATAAACAGACCCGCCTTCGAATTCCGTGGGGCCCGGTGGAGTTGGTCACTTGATTAATCCCAGTCTTAATTTTTTCATTTGTAACATGGGGATGCTAGTGCCGGCTTATTATTTCACTTGCACCTCGGATAAATTTTGCCTGAAGGGCTTTGCCAGCCTTATAAAATGTTATAGGGACACCTACTCTCATTGTTAGGTCTCAGCATCTTTCAGCTGCAGTCTCCTCTGCGGGGGGTGGGGGTGGCATACAGACCTGGGGCACCGACCCCCCAGAATTGTTGAGGTTCAAACCTCAAGCGCTTTGCAAAACCTCGACGTGCTTCATGTGGAACTTTGGCAGACGAGGTCTCAGGGACGGCCCTTCATGGGGTGGCGGCTGGAGCTGGGTTAAAATCTCCATCCCCTTTCTCACCTGCCCGTGCTTAACAGTTGTGTCCAGGGGGGAGATTGCTGGGTCTTTCCAGGGGGGAGATTGCTGGGTCTTTCCTCATCTATAAAATGTGGGTAACGGCTCTTGTAAACCTGCTGAAGAACAGTAATTGTGCTGCACTTTGCGTGCATGAAATCTTCCAAAAGCTAGCCTTCTCTGGGATATACTGATTGCCTGACCATGAACAGATCATTTAACCTGTCCTTAAATTCCCCTACCCAATTCTCTAAACTATAAATTGCAAATTTGTTCATCTAGATTCATGTGTGTGCGTGCGTGTGCGTGCGTGTGTGTGTGTGTGTGTGTGTGTGTGTGTGTGTGTGTGTGTGAGAGAGAGAGAGAGAGATTCCTTTGCCAGTCAAATGAAGCTTACGGATCCCTTCTCAGAATGTTGTTATGTACATAAAAAATGCATAGTATTACAGAAGATTCATGTTGTTTGTCCTTCATTCTCAAAGAGGACCATGACATGCAAATGAATTAGATTTAAGTGAGGGACAGCTGTGCAAAGTCACCAGCCTCACTTTCTCCTCAGAGCCCTCGGGGTCCAGTAGCCGGATAGATACACCTCAGGAGGACTGGAGATGGCCTCAGATGGGGTGGGAGACCTTGGCCTTTTGAAGCTAAGGTCTTCAGTAGGTGTCAGTTTGACTGAGGCAACACCCATTCTGTGAATAAGGCTAGGAAAGAAAATGAGGCAAAGAATCACTTATTTAACATAGTCCAGAAGAAAAATCAAAGTGGGAGAAGACCCTTGGGTTTCTGGCCAAAATAGAAACAATTCCTATTTGCATTCACTCTGAGTCAGTCAGGGCCCAAGCAAGACCAAGTGGGGTTTGGCCGGGGACCTATTGTTGGCCAATCAGTGAGGACCAGAGTGATTTGGCTTTAAGGCATGGTCCTTAAGAAAGAAATCTAGCTTGTAAATCCCAAGATAACCTGTGACAGAAAAGAAAGAGATAGAAAAGAAGAGGAAAGAAAGACAAAGGAAAAAGATCATATTGAAATACAGCTTTAAAAAAATATTTTTGAATGCTCTAACAACAGGTTAAGAGCCCCTAATCTAGAGGGAAGCATGAAAGGTATATACACAGAGAAAATCACAAGTTTTTGAAAACCTCCGCTTCCAACCCTTTAATTATATAAAGGATAGCTATTATCATTATACTATCTAATACTATTTCATCACCCTTTTAGCTACTTTTGCTTCCTTCCTGCCCCCCCCCAGCATAGTCATCCTTGACTTTCAGTAGCACTTTAAAGATTTACAAAAACATTTCCTCACAATTGCCTCATGAAGTTAATAAACGTGTATTTCACAAGCTGAGAAAATTTGAAGTTTGGAAAAATAAAGTTTGCCTTACTGAAGGTCACACAATCGTTAAGTGTCAAAGCAGCAATACAATTTCAGTTCTCTTCTGATCCAGGGCTTTTACTATACTAGAATGCAAAAACATATTGTTGTACCAGGCCTCTTACAACTAATCTTCCCTCCTCTGACATGGTTTGGGGTTGCTGGGAACCCCAAAATGTCAGGGTACAGTCCAGTCTGCCTGAAAAGTCAAGCACTCAAGCCTTCTTTCAGTCAAAATAATGAGGTTTATTGTAACACAAATAGAGCAAGTGACATTTCTAGCGAATCTTTGCCTCAGTGAGGTGAGATTGATACTTACATACAAAAAAAGGTACAGTGAAAGGATCTGGATGGGATTATGGTGGGTTAAGTAGTCTGGGACAGGGCAGGTGAAACAGTGATTGTTGAGTAGTCTAATTAAGTGATCTAAGTGGGCTGGGCCAGAAGCCTTGGATGGAGGCAGCAGTGATCTGGCTACTGAAATGTATGGGAAAATTCAGAGACAGGTTGCTTTCAAAGACATGGTCTTTTCCTTTAAGGGATCCAGGTCCCATCAGATCCCCATCAGCTCCAGGTTAATAGATTTAAAAAATTTTATTTCATTTTTTTCCCAATTACATGCAAAAACAATTTTTTGATATTTGTTTTTAAAAATTTTGAGTTCCATATTCTCTCTCCTTCCCATCTTCTCTCCTCTTCTTGAGAAAGCAAGCAAATTGATATAGATTATACATGTGCAGTCTTGCAAAACATTTCCATATTAGCCATGTTGTAAAAGAAAACACAGACCAAAAAAAAAATCTCAAGGAAAATAAAGTAAAAAGTGTTTCAGTTCTATCGATGGAGGTGGATAGCATTTTTCATCATAAATCCTTAGGACTTGTATTGGATTGTACTGCTGAGAATAGCTAAGTCATTCACAGTTGATCATCAGTATAATATTGCTGGTACTCTGTATAATGTTCTGGATCTGCTTGCTTCACTTTGTATCAGTTCATATGTCTTTTCAGGTTTTTCTGAAACCATCCTCCTCATCATTTCTTATACATGATAATATTTCATTACAATCATGTACCATAACTTGTTCAGCCATTCCCCAGTTGACGGGCATGTCCTCCATTTCCAATTCTTTGCCTGCTATAAATATGTTTGTTCACATATTCCCTTTTCCTTCATTTTTTAAAAATCTTTTTGTGATACAGATTCAGTAGTGGTATTGTTGAGTCAAAGGGTATACACAGTTTTATAGCCCTTTGGGCATAGTTCCAAATTGCTCTCTAGAATGGTTGAATCAGTTCACAATTCCAAAAATAGTGCATACTAGTGTCCCAATTTTTCCACATTCCTTTCATAACATTTCTCTTCTTTCTTTTTCTGATAGGCATGAGATGGTACCTCAGAGTTGTTTTAATTTGCGTTTCTCTAATAGTGATTTAGAGCATTTTTTACATGACTATATAGAGCTTTTCTTCTGAAAACTACCCATTCATATCCTCCGATCATCTATCAATTGGGTATTCTTATAGTTTTGACTCACTTCTCCATATATTTGAGAAAGGAGGCCCTTATCAGAGAAATTTGTTGTAAAATCCCCCCTCCCCCCCCAGTTTTCTGCTTGTCTTCTGATCTTGGCTGCCTTAGATTTGTTTGTGCAAAAATTCTTTGATTGAATGTAATCAAAATTATCCATTTTCCTTCCCTGTATGCTGTCTCTTGTTTTGTCATGATTTCTTCTCTTATCCATAGATCTTCCCTGCTCTCCTGATTTGCTTATGATATAACCCTTTATGTCCAAATAATGTACCCAATTTGACTTTATCTTGATAAACAGTTTGAGATTTTTGTCCATACCTAGTTTTTTTGCCAAATTGCTTTCTAGTTTTTCCAGAAATTTTTGTCAAATAGTGAGTTCTTGTCCCAAAATCTTGGATATTTGCATTTATCAAGCACTAGATTATTATGGTCATTTAATACTGTGTATTACATACCTAATTTATTCCACTGGTCCATCACTCTATTTCTTAGCCAGTACTAGATTATTTTGATGATTACTGCTTTATAATACAGTTTGAGATCTGGTATTGCTAGGCCACTTTCCTTCACATTTTTTCATTGATTCCCTTGATATTCTTGATCTTTTGTTCTTCCAGATGAATTTTATTATTTTTTTCTAGCTCTATAAAATAATTTTTTGTTAGTTTAATTGGTACA